ATACACAACTATATTTTTATAGTTTACAAGTGTTTGTGTCTCTATTCATGTTATCCCACCAGCCTAGGCTGTCATTAGCATCATCTTCTGCCTAAACCTTCTGAAGCTTTCCCTGATTCCTCGGGGAGAATCAGCTGCATTTGCATAGTGCACAGCATACAGCCCTACTTAGTAAGAACAAAATCCCTCTTTATATGTTGGCTAAATGCATGTAAAATGAGTCCAGAACTTGAATGGAGTTGTTCTTAAAACAAGCTGTGGCCTCAGGTGAGAATTAAGGATTTTGGTGGGAAATTGGGACAGATGCAAAGAACAGTCAAGGCTGGGTACTGGGAAGTAATATAATATAGTTTCATCATCATTCAGTGGGGCGAGTCACATTTATATTTGATCCATGCATCATCATCCGAATTGATGGGTCACCAGTGTCTTTGGGGTGAACACTGGTGTATCAGTTTGAGGTGCATTATTTGAGTTGGATTAAGACTCTATGAGTAAGGGTGGAACTGCAGGGAATAAGATACTATTAAGAAAACCTAAAGAGAACGTTGGGGCTTCTTTCAAGTGAGTAGATGCTCAAAAAACAGCTCCAGCCTCAGAAAACCAAAGTGAAAAGTAAGAAACCAAGACAGAAAACAGTGCAGAGGTTGGAAAACAGGCTCTCCATGATTGACTGGCCTGCTGGATAGAGTAGCAAGAGTAATTCCAAATCCTAATTTTCAGCTGGTTGCAACCCAGTTCTTTGAATTAGTTATATAGGTAGTTACCAATCTGAAAAGATGGCTAGATAGATACATAGATAAATATATATATACATACATACACATATACATACATCCGCTTGGAAGATAAAAAAATAAATGACTGGAATAAATGCTTGAAGTTGTTACTAGCAGTTTTCTGTGTAGCGGGGTATGGAATAATTTGTTTCACCACTGTTTTTCATCTTCCCAAAGTGTTCTATGGAAATGTGTCCTGATTTTAAAATCAGAAACAGATAATTAAGTATGTGTGTGTATGAGTGTGTATACTATTTCTTTTTCTTTTGACTAAACCAGTAATTTTCAACTGAGGCCAAATTTGCCCCACAGGCAACATTTGGCAATGTCTGAAGAGATATTTGGTTGTTACAACTGTGGGCTGTGCAACTGGCATCTAGTTGGTAGCAGAATGGTGCTAAACATCCTCTAATGTTCATGGCAGTCCCAGACAACAAAAAATTATCCAGCCCAAAGTGTCAATAGTGCCAGGTTGGGAAACCAGGATTAAACAAATAAAAGCTTTATTAAATTTTTATCTCTATAAATGATTAATTTTACTGATACTATACACGGTTATTTCAGATTAATAGTTATTTTTAAATCTGAAATCCCAATAATATCTAGCATTTTAATATAGACATTCTATATGCATTAGCAAGAGCTTAAAATAAATAATTAAGCTGTTTTCACAATAGTATATTTTCTTGTTCTATGACAATAGAAGTAATAACTACAAAAAGAAAAATCACTCTGACATGTTCTCTTCTTAATTCATGCTCTTGCTTGTTTATTTTTAGAGAAGTATTGATGACTTTGTTACAAGTGACACTATAATTTTTTAGGCATATAGCCCTATTTTTAAAGCAGTTTCTTAGATGCTATAATCTTGGTTTCAGAATTACTTAAGTGAAAATTACCTTCTGGACTGACAGTTGTTGAAAAAGATTGTGTTTCATGTTTATCTTTATGTCTATATACTGGTTAGCAAAAGTTCTTATATAACAAACTCTAAATAAATATATATTGGGTTGAATGAAAGTCAATAGTGTGTAGCTCTTCTGGATACAATTGATATTTACATAGGTATAAAGATGTGTAATGAATTTTATAATAAGTAATAAAAAGATTCATTTTTGGAGCCATCTAGAATCAAGAATTACAGTTCATTTAATTCAATGAGAAGCTAATGGGTATCTTTTGGGCATCTATCACTTTATCAGATGTTCTGCAGAGTATAAAAGTAAGATAAAATGCATTCCCTAGCCTTGAAGAATTTGTAATCTAACCAAGAGATAGACCATATCTTGGAAAAACCATTTAATTCCAGGGCAAAACAGCATATGGTTGAGGGCCAAAATGAATGACTAATTAGTGCAATAAAAATTTAAGGAACTAAAATATATCTACATGACTGGGATCATTACAAATGGATTCATGGCAAAGAGGAGAATTGAACTGACCCTTAACAGACCAATGAATAGAATTTTAATATGACCAGAATTAGAGGAAAGTATTTTAAGGGACAAAAATAACATAAACAAAGCTAAGAAGATAAGACTAATCAGGAACGTGCACATAGGGCAGTGAAAGACAATTACCTTGGTTGGAGCAGGCAATAAATTTGAACTGCTAGTAAATGGCCAGATTACTGTGACAGTCAAATGAGTGAATATCAGTAGGAAATCCTGTAAAATATTTAAACATATGAGTGGGGTAAAACATGCTATCTCCAAATAAAGTTTGAAAATTGTGTTTTCAGTCTTGACCACATTTAAAGTGATTACCTAATCTAATATGGTTTAGTATCATCGTCCTCCACCTACAGACCTTTGTACTACATAAAGCAAAAATCTGGCCTACATAGTGTACCTAATGTTCCACATTAGGTCGCAAAAAAATGACCACTATCAAAGGCAAGCCAAATTTAGCTGTAGCTCCATATAGCCTTTCCCTTGTGACTACTAAGATAGCAGAAGTCCTCATTTCTGAAGAGAGGTGCTCCCGTTAAAGAATTATTTTAATTACCTTAACCTTTATTCTAACATTATATTTTAGTCAAGGGATTAATAGAGCAAGAACTGTATTCTGTCTCTTCAAGGAGTTTTGCAGAAGATAGGAATGAACGATTAGCATTGCTAAGAATCATTAGACTAAATTTAATACACATATGTTGAGCTCACGATAAAATGCAAGAAGTTCATTACTTCCAAATGAAAAAAAAAAAAAATGACTTCCACCTAAATGCAGGTTACATGACCCTTTCTACTTGTTAGGATACACTTATCTTTCCTGATTGGAGACCCATAAGAGACAGCTTTGAAGAATAAATAGGCTTCATATTTGAGGTAAAAAGAATTCCAATGCTTAGCTTCATTTAGTAACCATTAATAATTAACAGAAACTACCAAGAGGTTGGCCAATGTGTCTTTAAATGTCAGACATTTGCATCATATACATTTAAGTCTGTAAATACTAAAGTCAAATTATCTATGAAGCAAGAATCCTTAGGTCATCATAAAAGAGATTTTGGTAAATGTTAACTCACCTATGAAACGTTGGTTAGGAATAGATTCAGCTGCATGTTAACAGCCTTACCTACAATGGCTTAGCAGAATGGAGATTTGGTTTTTTAAAAAGAGAATTTCAAAAGGAGGCAGACAAAGACTCTTAGTGGTGGCTTCATTATGCCATTTCCAACAAAGTGCCCTCTGGATTTCTAACAAGCATCCTTAAATGACTTTCAGTTATATTGCATTGTCCAGAACTATCACATGGTTCACCACCTCTCGTTGAAAACTAGGCTAGGAAATAATATTTTTAAGTGTGTATATTGTAGTCTCAAATAAAAGAGAGAAGAGTTATATAGGTCAGCTAGCAAAAGCTCTCAGCAGTGCAAATTCAGAGCAATTGCAGTAAGACCCCAGCTATCATATCTTTGTTAAAGCACTACTAAGTAAACTGAGTCTGTAACACCTAACTCAAATATCTAAGTGCCACACAAAAGTCCATTTTCCAGGTTTTCATGAACTAGGTCATTTTGACCAGTAAATGACCTTTCAGCTATGTCTTTGTCTAATGGATTTCTTGGAGAACAGCCCAAGCACAGCTTGCATCCATTCACAGAAAAGGTTCCTATGTAGTATTGCTATGCCCACAAGGGCAAGAGTGATCTATGAAGATTTCCACTCACTCAGAAAGCTACCAATTGATATATTGTGTATGGTCATTGACAGGTCCAATTCAGGGAAGTGAAAAAAGGGGAAACTGCAAATATGGCACAATATCTTTGTTTTCCCAGCTGCTTTCTTCTTTTGCTAGTAAGAAAGTGTTAGTATCTTAAGCGCTGCGAAATTCCTCAAAATTGCAACTCAGTAGCTACCAGAGTCTGGCGCACAGTGGGTGTTCAAGTAATATGTCCTGAATAAGCATTTTGCTTACTTACTCTTATCAAAAGGTACACAAATGTTGGTTTAAAATAAGCATTCTTCATTCACTTTAATGAAACTGTCAAAAGCATTTAGTCAGCATCCATCTCACCTGAGTCAAAGCTCTATGAGAAGCCCCAAGGAAGTGCTTGCCAAGATTTTTCACCCTGAAGGTCTTGCTCTGGGTCTTTTATGTGACCTGAAAATTTTTTTCTTTTTTGACTCACATCCAGAGTTAATTAATCAAATCTCTGAAAATTGGCTTCTAAGCCATTTGGCCACCAAGCAGATTATCAACGTTACAAAATCAATTTAGAGCCATTTTTAAGTGTTTAACATACTTTCGTAATTTCCTAAATCAGCATATAAATCACCTTGAAATGAAAGTTAGGAACTGTCAGTCAATGATTCAGTTAGCCAAGCACTTGCCATGATGTTAAGGGACATTTGAAGGTGCACAAATAACAGCCCCAGCCCTCTACAACTTACTATCCATTTAGGAAGACAATATGTTTACAGGGGGAAAAATCATGTAATAATGTAACATTATATTTACAACTTGTCACATTCATAGACTGGACAATAAATATTTCAATTTTCCCAGAATATCAACAAATTTGGGTTTTGCTAAAGTGAAACAGGGACAGAATGTATCCTATATGTAAGTCAACTTTTGAGACCCTGATAGAAGGATCACGGTCCTTTTAACATTAGAGTATAAAATGCTATTTAGCATAGATAAACTATAAAGAATTCACCTGAGCCATAGGAGGAAGTAAAAATAATTATTCTTTTCTTTTTTTAAACATTAGGTCATGGAACTAAAGGAGTGTTTGAGCTTCTGTCTGGATGGCGGAGAACCAAAGAGAACTTGCCCTTCAAAGACAGGATAGCAGACGCCTATTCTGATGTGATGGTCACCTATACCATGACCAGCTCCCTGTACTTCATCACGTTTGGCATGGGTGCCAGTCCATTCACAAACATTGAGGCTGTGAAGGTCTTCTGTCAAAACATGTGTGTCTCCATTCTGTTGAACTACTTCTACATTTTCTCCTTCTTTGGCTCCTGTCTGGTCTTTGCTGGCCAACTAGAGCAAAACCGCTACCACAGCATCTTTTGCTGTAAGATCCCTTCTGCAGAATACCTGGATCGCAAACCTGTGTGGTTCCAGACAGTGATGAGTGATGGGCATCAACAGACCTCCCATCATGAGACAAACCCCTATCAGCACCACTTCATTCAGCACTTCCTCCGTGAACATTATAATGAATGGATTACCAACATATATGTGAAGCCATTTGTCGTCATCCTCTATCTCATTTATGCTTCCTTCTCCTTCATGGGGTGCTTACAGATCAGTGACGGAGCCAACATCATCAATCTACTAGCCAGTGATTCGCCAAGCATTTCCTATGCCATGGTTCAGCAGAAATATTTCAGCAACTATAGCCCTGTAATAGGATTCTATGTATATGAGCCCCTAGAGTACTGGAACAGCAGCGTCCAGGAGGACCTAAGAAGACTCTGTAGTGGATTCACTGCAGTCTCCTGGGTGGAGCAGTACTATCAGTTCCTGAAGGCCAGCAACATCAGTGCCAATAACAAAAGTGACTTCATTAGTGTCCTGCAAAGCTCATTTTTAAAAAAGCCAGAATTCCAGCATTTTCGAAATGATATCATCTTCTCCAAGGCAGGGGATGAAAACAACATCATTGCTTCTCGCTTGTATCTGGTGGCCAGGACTAGCAGAGACAAGCAGAAGGAAGTCATAGAAGTGTTGGAAAAGCTAAGGCCCCTATCCCTCTCAAAGAGCATCCGATTCATCGTGTTCAACCCCTCCTTTGTCTTCATGGACCATTACAGCTTGTCTGTCACAGTGCCTGTTCTGATTGCAGGCTTTGGTGTTCTCCTGGTGTTAATCCTGACTTTTTTCCTAGTGATCCACCCTCTGGGAAACTTCTGGCTAATTCTTAGCGTCACCTCAATTGAGCTGGGCGTTCTGGGCTTAATGACCTTATGGAACGTCGACATGGATTGCATTTCTATCTTGTGCCTTATCTACACCTTGAATTTCGCCATTGACCACTGTGCACCACTGCTTTACACATTTGTACTAGCAACTGAGCACACCCGAACACAATGTATAAAAAGCTCCCTGCAAGAGCATGGGACAGCCATTTTGCAAAATGTTACTTCTTTTCTTATTGGGTTAGTCCCCCTTCTATTTGTGCCTTCGAACCTGACCTTCACACTGTTCAAATGCTTGCTGCTCACTGGGGGTTGCACACTTCTGCACTGTTTTGTTATTTTACCTGTGTTCCTAACGTTTTTCCCCCCTTCCAAAAAGCACCACAAGAAAAAGAAACGTGCCAAGCGAAAGGAAAGAGAGGAAATTGAATGCATAGAAATTCAAGAGAACCCTGATCATGTCACCACAGTCTGAGGGGTATAGACCAATGGATTATTTTTCTTTTCCAGTATTGCACAACGATGCAGGGCAAGTAAAGCTCAGACCTCAGCTGCTTGGGCTGGCCAGGGGTAACAAGGCAAGTCAGACCAAGAATGCATTATTCATGACATGTCAGGGTGTCTGCTTCTTGGGGGGAAGAGGGAATAAAAAAGAAGGGAAAAGTTCTTTGCAATCTTGTTCTCTGCTGAAAACAAGTTTCTGCATGTAGTCTGAGAGTGCTTCCAAGGAATGGACGACTCAATAGAGTGTTAAGATAGCAGGCCAAAAGAACCAACTGCTTTTAAAAATAAAATGCTTAGGAGCAATGGAGAAGCAAGGAAAGGTGTCCTTCAAATAGGGGGAAAGACATAGGAAATGTCAAAATTGCCAAGGCACTTTTCATGTTTGTTTTTTGAACAGGTTGGTCAAAGGAAACCTATGCACTTGGGAAGTACATATTTAATACTGTCTAAACCAAAGGACTTCCCAATCCACTTTATGTGTACATATATATGTATATATCCCATATATACATATACTTAGATTTGTCTTTAGTGTACATTGACGTTTATGTGGAGGGAGGTGTCCATTTGCAGATAGGATGGTCTTTCCCTAGAAAGTCAAATCAACCTTAGCCAAATATATAGACTCATTAACAGCCATTCTAAATCAACCCAAGTGTCTCAGCAGTAAGTGTCATTCAACTGTGGGATGAGCAAAATAAACAGATGTGAGTTCATTAGATTATGCATATCATGTCATCATCAGTCATCTAGACTTTTGCTTTGGATGACTTAGCAAAAAAACACAAAAGGCATTTGAATTAATTACTACATGGACAAGGTTTACAGTTTCATATTAGAAATAAACAGTTGATATGGATTATCATTGGCTTTTACTGTATTTGGAAGGCAGATATGGCTGTTTTCAGTGAGTTCACCCAACTGCAAATGAGCACTTTACACAGATTATCCATACATGTGTCTAAAGGTGCACAAGTATGTGTATGTGAGTTGGGGTATTCCATAGTTATGCCATTCTTACTTTAGATAGGGAAAATAACTGCCATGGAATATGAATAATTAACATAGGAGAAAGGAGACATAACTAGGGACACTCATAGAGTGAAATAGAGTAAAATGGGTCATACCCACTCATCACACGCCATCTACTGGTTCTTAGTGTAAGGAAACTATTCTAATCCTATAAACTCTAGTATATTCCTTGCATTAGTATTTGGAACATAATCCAGGCCATGATCACCATAGTGGTGGCCACTGTACCAACTGCAGTATCATTTTGTAGCTTCTTACAATAGCGTTGCTCTTGCTCCCTGGAAAGTGCTCCTCAGCTGGCCCCTCCTAGGGTAATCACAGCTCTCCACAGGTGGCATATTAACTGTAACTGCTGCTGAATTCTTTCTCAAACAAAAGTACTGAGGTAAATGTTTTCCTTAAGTTAAAGTTTAAAACTACTCCCAAGCAGATGGACTCAGCCCGTTGGGGGCTTGCTTGGACTAACGCTGTGCTTCCTGTCACAGAAAATTACTAGAAAATGCCTTTTCCCATGCCAAGCAGTAACATAATTTATTTCCAGGTAGGACAGAATAAATGTCCAGTGATTACAAAATCTGCTAGTAAGCTCTTTTACCTAGAAGAAAGCTACTGTTTCCCATCAACTTTGTTTCTATATTTTAATCAAATTAATAATATCTAAAATAATGAAACTCCTTGACTCAATTATGCTCAGAAAAAAGAAACAAACCATTTCATTCTTGTTATCGTCTCTGGAAATGAAGTTGGTAAACTAATGAAGTTACAAAACAAGTGTACTTAGACATATAGCTTTCCAGAATATAAAAGGGAAAGGGAACAGTCCCTAAAATGAAAACATTTAAGCAGCATTTTATTTATTAAATGGAGTTTGCTTTGTTTTGCCTTGAGGTAATTGGGTTTCAACAGGAAATGATCTATGTCTTCTCCATTGTGTCAATTTGAGTGCAATATCTATAGATTTCATAACCAGAGGGTTATTGTTTTTATGTTATTTGTAAAATCATGTCACAAATATCCCTAGCCTTTGGCCTCAAGAACTGCTGAGCTAGAATGAACTGGTATTTGGTATGAGTAGCCTCCAGACCATGATCTCATATCTGAAATAGAAGTTTCTGAGATTTCTGGTTTGGGTTTTGATTTTTTGGGGGGTGAGGGTTTTGTGGTGGGGGTACCGGGAGATGGAGAATTCCTCTTACAGATTACCCATCATTTTTAAAGATTTCTATTTTTTGGCATCCCTTGCAAAACATGGGAGATAATTGCTTAGAAAGTTCATTATCTATCATTCCTTTTCTTCCCATTGTGTGCCGCGCTCCACTCATTCACCTATTTTTTAAAAGACTGGCTATTGGGTTAGTTTTTTATTGGTTCCTATAGACCATTCCACATGCAAAGAAGATTGACAGCCTGATTTACAGAGAAAGAATCAAACACGCCGGTTGTCAAACGCATGTGGAGGAAATGGCATATCCTGCAAAACGACCAGGCAGTGCTAATGTTACGTTTCCATTCAGATAGTCTCTATTTGGATAGGGAAAAATGGTTCTTTTTTTTTTTTTTAGTGTATGTCTTCAAGAATCAATGTGTCTAAGACAAATATGAATTTCTCATTGTTTGAGTGACTAGAGGGCATTTTAGAAGGAACATTATCTTTTCCAGGACACAGTAGTTCTCTTTAGTGAACTGTAGCAATAATTTACTGAAATGGAATCCTTTGTTCTGGAAGAGTTAATATACCACCTAAAATGCCTTAATTCAGTCCTAGGAAGAAGTAATTTAATACTAAGAAGAATCTAACAGAGCATCATCTGACCTCCACACCTCACTGTGAAACAGATATTTTCAAGAATTCCATTTCCTGAATGCTAAGATACATCCCAAGATAAGAGATCATGATTTGCAGGTCACCCCCAATCTCAACTTTTTTGGTAGTTTGTGTGCACCTCTCTCTAGTTTTTCAAGTTTACACTCATTATTTTGTTCATTTGTAAAGTACTAATGCCATTCAAATTAGGAACTTATCTATTGTCAGCAGATGACCAGTCAACTCCTAGAAGAGGAGAAATGTGTGGGAAATATGTCAGCTTTGTGTAATATTTTATTTAATTGAAATATGTATGGCCTTAAAGTAAGAAGTTTGAAAAAAACACTCCTTTTCTGTATTTAAACTGGAATGTGGATTTATTTCCTTCCATCAGAATTTAAATTTGAATTAGAACGTACCATGTGAGTTCCACTCTCTTTGATGTTATAAACTTCAAAAAGGTATTCACCTAAATTACATAAAGAGATCAACTAAAAGTTAGATTCTTAACTCCTTATGGTTAAAGGTAATCATATGTTAGACCAGGCTTAATTCTTTTTAATGAAAGTTATGTTTAGATATTTTCCCATGAATTCTTGCAGTGACTATAAACCTCTTTGAAGGTTGTGCATAAGTATTCTATGAAAGAACTACTCTCCTCTGTCGTTGTATCATGTTAGTCGCTCTTTCCTATTTGATTCCCATTTATTTCCACAGAATTTAGATTTTTTACCTTGTGAGGTGAGAGGAATAATGATGACAAGTGAAGTTTTATGATGCTATTATAGTTCTTCTTGAATGTTGAATTCAAGAGAGTAAAAGCTTTGTCCATTTTGTAATTATCTATTGCACTTTCCCATAATAAGCTAATCCTTCTTGGCTTGTGGTTAGAGCTAGGGATTAACTATTGCCATTCAGAATTACATGTATTTTTATAAGTTAACTATAAATATCATAATTACAGTCACATATTTTTATGACCAAATAGTTATGAATGCACGGCACTATGCATGCATCGTTATTAATAGTATGTAGATTATTAAAGACACAATTTTCAGAGTTATTGCAACTTTTATTAAAATTCTTGCATCATCTATCCATAAATGCCTCATGGCTTTTGGTCCCAAGGGCCTAAAGTCCGCAGAAAGTTCCATTCCAAGGTAAGCAATTTAAGAATTGCCTTCCCTGGGTATCAGTAGCAGCCACCTCTTCTAGAATGGCCTTTGGAAAATCCCAGAAGCCAAATCTGGCTTCCAGGTAAAGGGCCTACCATATTCTGTATTGGTTAGTAAATAAATATACTTTTTTTGTCTTGTCTTTGCTAATCTTATGATGAATCAGGGAATATAATGCCTTGAGAATGGCATTTAGATACTGTCAGAGATTGGAGAATTCAATGATTTGCTCGACATCCTACCAGAGGAATCTTTCTGTTCAGTCTGGTTTGCTGGTGTCTGCGAATGGTATTAGCAACCTTTGCAAAAAATGAATCTGAAAACAGTTACTTATTTTTAAAAAGCCTCAGAAGCACTTTTCTTCCCTTTAAAAAAAAAAAGGTTTAGCTTTTTCTGGATTACCAAAATTTTATAACAACTTTATAACATTGACACAAAACATATTTATGGCTGAATTGGTATGCCCTTGATATCTCCCCACCTTCAATCTCAATATAAAATTGAACATCATCACTGTGGTGCAGACCTTTACACTAATATTTTTAAGCAATGATCTACAGATATATTGTATAGGGAAAAATCAAATTTTTTACTACTTTGCCTGCAATGATATTAACCCAAATGAAAGCAGCAAAATCGTAAGTGAAAGCAACGAAGCCTCATTGCATGAGATCCATCAGGGTAGAGACTGTGTATGGGTATAGTCGCAGTAAATTACCTTGACTTCTCAACTAAAGGATCAAGGTTCATGCACCATCATATTTTACTTAGGAGCACAAGAACTGGTGTTCTGTGTCTGAAGTGCTGTGGAGTTAGATCAGGCAACATTTGAAATGAGACTGGAAGATTATTGAGAGAGGAGCCCACATCTCAGAAATCAAGATGTCTGTAAGTAGGTGTGATAGAACCAGTGGAATAATACCACATATTCTGTGATTTAGAATGCAGTACAGCAGAAAGAATCGTGCGGTGTCACAAAACTATAGATTGTCAACTGCTAGTGATTGTCATAGGCAAATACATCACACTTGAAGACTGTGTTCTTGTTTGTCAAATTCACAACCTAATCTTTGCTGTGGGAGGTGCATCTGAATTTCTAAGCACAAAGGAAGAGCCATGGACTCTTTGTTAGTAAAAGTGAAACGCTAGGGAGACTCTGAAAAGCAGCTTAAATTAAGCACCCAGATAGGTATCATTCATTCCCAGAGTTGCTCTCATCATTGACTAGATTTTGTGGGTCTTTAACTCTTAAATTATAGAAAGCCAGCTCCTACTATTTTTTCCTGCTTGAAAATTTCCCGTAAGAAAAGTCTCACAGGTCATGATAATTATGAAGTCTTAAAAATCATAAGAAAACTTAAGGAACAGAGTAGGAATCAACCACTAATGATGTGTGATTCCTGCTGTTATGATGTGATTGTACTTATCTGAGCTGAGGTTTTTAGAAGTCATTTGCAACTGGACTCTGGTTTCCCAACAGCTAATGACATGGTCTGATAGAGGAGCATTACGGTTTTCTTTCCCTCTGTTGAGACAGTTATAGAGTAAGCACGTTACCCACAGGGCTCCATCAGATCAGTGTCGGGGGTGGGGGGGATCTAATGCTTTGAAAGATTGCATTGAAGAATTTCCTAGGAATAACTACGAGAGTCTCTCATGGATGAAAGATTAGTGGAATTGAATAAAAATGTATAACTTTTCAGTGCTATGTAAATTTATAAATTTATTCTCAGTAGAGGCAGTCTATAGTATGTTATGGGGAGCATTTAAATTATCTAATGTAATATGGTTACTAGAATCTCTCCCTGGACACTGAAATACCTTCTATCATTTTATCTGAGGAATTCACTGGTTGTTGGTACAGAGCTGGAAAAAAAAAAAAAAAACAGGCCCTCATATTCCTGCATCTCCTGGTACAGTCTGCAACATCTATTTCAAGTAGAATAAGGAAATTTGGGCATCTTTTTTCGCAAACAAAAAATTGTGCTATGAACTGATAAATTAGACCTTAAACTGGCCAATGCAAATATTCCAATGTTTTAGTAGAGTTTAAGCAACAACTTTATTATACTTTCCTGTTAATTATGCATATTCTTCAGTAATAGACTGTTTTGCTGTTAAGTAGTAGATCTGTCACAGATTGAAAAGGGCAGAGATCTCTTCAAGCTACCTCATATGGGTATTTAAAGACAAAATGGCATGCAATCTTTGATTAAATGGCAATATCTTAAAGCCACAAAGCAATATTATTTATCATCTTTCCTTGATGTTCATTCACTTTATCAAATTAGACAAGGCAAAATGTAAAATGAGCACTCCTCTATGCAGTCCCACATTCTGGTTAACATAATATTCATTAATATAAATCTCTCAGAGCAGTTGTCAGTTGTCTCTCTACAGATATCTCAGAACACAAAAATTGACTCAGAAAGAAAGTAATCTGACTTTAAGAAGAGAAAGTGGCCTACCTGGTAAGATGCACAAATAATCTATGGATAACTTCGGAAAAAATTCCAAGTGCATTTCACTTATCACTTTTCTTGGAGGAAAAAATACATTTGTGTGTTTGTTTATTTATTTGTTTAATTATTCTAGGCAAATAGAAAGTGACAAAATTACCATTATTTGGCATTTTACTTAAGTTTTCTTTTCCTCTGGAAGGCATTGCTATTATTTTCTGCTAAATTCAGGTTTTTAAAACGCAGGTCACTTATGGAAACATTAGCATCAATGAAAAGAAAACCCCTAGGGAGAAACAGATTTCATCCATGTATAGGCAAATTGTAGGAATTAAAGTAAAAGTTAAGCATTTTTTTTTTCTAAAACAACCCACTTGTTCTTAATCCTAGCTAGACAAAATTGCTAATTTCTACAGCAAAGAAAGATGACTAAATGTATGAAATTATGAAACTTTGATGTATTAACACTACAAACCTCATGGCAAACCACCAATTCCAGGTGTCTTTACCCATAAGAATATTCTTTCTAAAGTGCTCTATTACATATAGGTTCATCCCATTCATGAAAACGGCTTCATTTATCATGCCAAAATACTACAAACAAAGCCATAATAGCATTCTGCTCCGTAGTTCTGTACCTTGGGCTTCACAACTAAAGCTACCTTACCGAGGAAAGATTAAAAACAAATTTTGGACAAAAATGTCAAATCAAAAAAAAAAATTACCTAAGTTGTATTTCCATCCAAAAAAATCTGTGAAATAGAAGACTGCTGTGTAGCCATTTTAGATCTCACCAAGAAGAAAATATTCTAAAAGTACCCATTTTGGATCTTACTAAGAACCAAAACCAAAAGTCCTTCCAAAGTTTCCAGTTCACTTAAATTTGGTCCATTATCAAAACTTTCCTCTATGTTGATAAGTGAAAAAATAGTCTGCAAACCAGTTTTTTCTTAACTATAATAGAAACAAGTAAAGAACAAGTTATTTCCCATAGATTTGAATGTGTAAACATACATTTAATAATTAAATGAATCTCATACCTTGGTCAAGGAAAATTATGTTCCAAATATTTATTTGTTCTGTTTACCATTATTTTCATAATTTGGACACATTGAAATACAATAATTTTAGTTAAATTGCTCAGAATTGCCCTGCATAAGAAATTTATTATCTAGAGCTTAAAGGTAAAAATCTTAAGAAAAATAGCAATTAAATCTTAGCTACTTGGAAAACAATGTTATCAAAGTTGTATTTACCACAGTGCCACTAGGCAAAGTTAAACACAGCATTTCTGGCTATCTTGACATTTTAGTTTAACAAAAGAAATCTAGTTCCATTAGTTATAATAAGAAATAATTTATATATTAAAATAGTAATAAATTATACATGTGTATATTCTGTAGTTCTTAGGGTCATATATGAGGTCTTTTAAAATCACAACCTCAAATGCTGTAAAAGCTAGGTGATTCTTAAATTTACCAGACTTTCCTTCATTTTTTATTGATACTATTAAATGTCACAAGGAATATCATAATATGCAACTTATTCCTCTTACTTCAATGAGATTTTCAAGCGTGCTACCTTTTCGGGAAAGATTTTTCTAGGCTACGAATTAAACTTCCTAAACAAAACATCTCATAACATCACAATGTAAAATAACATAATCTATGCTTTTTTAGTCTTTTATTGAATCACATGCTCTAAAATGTATAATGTAAATTTTTACCCTTTAAACCTTCAAGAATACACACATTAAAAGTAATACTGTGATAATATATATCAATTATCTCTACGTGGTTAAGATAAAGCATTCTGAAGCAAATACAAAATGTCTTAGCATTCCTGAGAGATATTTTTATGAATCCCTACGCTCACAANGTTACTAAAGTATTAATAAAAGATTTAGATAGCACTTTAAGACCCCTTAATAATTACATTACCTTCAAATCTAAAGCAATTTATAATCACGTCAAATAAATTCTACCTAAAATTTCTCACTGCGTTACATTGCATTATTGTAGTAATATTAACTTGAGCCAACATTTTTCTCACCATATGAGAGCTGCAGAATATGGAGACAATGAGTAAGCCAGCCACTATTCAGTAGTACCCAGAGATTACTCACAAAGCACATCTCTTTGGCTGCACGCTGTACAGCTTCAAGCCTGGGCATAATTGTTCATGGGCTGTCAGCACCACTTCTAAGTCACTAAAGTCAATACTGTTAAATATTTCAGTATCTAAGTCAACTGTATTTTGATGAATAATGTTGTGTCATTATAAATAATGCATAGATAACCAACATTCAAAATATTTAAATTCACTTGATGCCAAAAATATACTTAAACTATTTAATATTCCACAACTCACTTCAAAAGCTTTGTCATTGCAAAGCTTTCCTCATTATTGACATATAATGAGGAGACAAAAGAAGTCTTAGTAACATTTCATTTTATATAGTTTTCCATATGCTTTCTTAACAACAAGGTTGCCTTTATGTCTTTCATGGAAATGTTTGGACTTATTCAATAGCCATTTTCCTGTCTAATTTTAGTATTGTAATCATTAATTTTATTCTGCTTTTTCCCTTTGTTTAAATATGTTCAACTTTTATCATTTCTAAAGTAACTTTTCCTTAGCGTCATTAAAACATGTATTCTCTTTTAGGTAAAAATAAGCACGGCTAGAAAGGAATGAAATACAAATTTAGCAAAACACTATTCATTGTCACTTATATGTGCTTCAAGCTGAAATTCTCCACTGATTTTATTTTTAAAATGGCAACTGACATGGAAAACTATGCACTCTATGTCTGCTTTGCAGACATTCAATAAATCACTGTTCAATGAAGAAAAATATAACTTCTCCAGCTTCTGACTTGTTTGCTTATGACCTAATGAAAAGTAAGTTATTTAATAATCTCCATCTTTGAGAGCCCATATTCAGAAGCTTTTGTTGTTGCTTTGTTTTATTTTCTAGAATTTTCCTATGTAACCAGTTACACAGGAATAAGGCCCCATACAAAGAAAAAATTTTGGGTTTATTGATAAT